TGCAGTAAATTCAAAATTATTATCTATGTAACATTTCTGTGGTTTTTTTAACATAAAGTGATATTTCAGAGCTAAATTCAGATAGCCAGTACAGTAAGACTCCAAAAACATTTCTTATTATTGCTTCTTTTAATTTATGCATGGGAGGCAAATATTGTCTTTTGTCATGTAACTTATTGTGGGAAGTTAAGGATCTACAGAATATGTTAAAAAGGTTCTACATTCAGTTTGACTAAATTAAAAGGTTTATGTTGGGGTGTTTACCTAGTTTCTCCCTTGCCATTATCTGTTTCTCTTTGAGTTTGATAGTCTTCCACTTCTTTTAAGATAAGTATTCTATCATTTCATTGCAGAATGCAAAATACAGGTACAATTTCCCTCTTTTTTTTTCAATAGGACACAAGTAATAAATTAAACTAAAACTCTTTCAATAGAGAATCTTAGTAGTATAAATCTGTGTAGTATGTACTGAAAAGTGAAATACAGCAGACTAAAAAGAGAATGATTTCTTGCTTTAAAACTTGTAGAGACTAAATGCAACAGCAGAATTGAGCTTTGAACCATAAGTACCATAAGCAAAGTTACCATATTAAAAACTCCATCTAATCAAGTCTAGAAAATACTAGTGAGCATTACTTGCTCCATAGTGAAGATTAAAACTGACATCCCATTATGAATCAAGAGACAAATATACTAAAAGCAAAAAAACAAAAACTGTGAAGTGCACAGGTTTCATTTTGACTACAGGTAGAGGATATTGGAAGAAAAAGAGAAACCTTGAAAGAAGGTTTAAAGAAATCTTGGATATAAAATCAGAAAGGAAGTTCAAAACTGGGACTATTCAAGAATGTTTCTTCTTTTCTCTTTCCATTAATCTAGAAAACAGGGAAGAAACGCCTGGTATAGAATGGAAAACAAATCTTAAAAGGAGCTATTATTTTACCAAAGAATCCTTAGAAAATCTTTACAATCCTTACAAAAACTCCTGTTTGTCCTTATCAAGCCAACAATTCCAGAGTTTCTTTTGCTATACCTAATTTTAATGCCTTAGATAAAGATGTTAAATGAGTACATAAAAAGTTAGGTACAATGTTTTTAGGAGATCAAATCCAATTTTTGGATAATCATATCATCAAAGACATATAGTATTATGTAATCAGTTGTGTGAAATGAGATGTATCTTAAGCACTACCTTCTAAAACTCAGGTTTGCCTTATAGATTATCAGATTACTTTAACTATGATTATTTAAAAAAGGCCAATGACATCCTTATTGTCAAACTTCCATACCTTAAGTTCTCTCAAATAGCTTCTTTCTTCATCTAACAGGCAGATCAGCCATGAAGCTTATTTTTACTATTTAGAGCCTAGACTCTTTATCTGGGTTTTCATTATCTCAGCAGACTTACCTCTCACTATGAGCTGCTTCATAGGAACAGATTTTCTGCTGAACAAATTAACTGTGATACTGTATTAGTTTCCTCCCGTCTTGTGCATTGGTTATACATATTGATAAAACAACAATTATAAACTGTATATTGGTTTTTTTTTTTCAACTAGGGAGCTTGTAGTATACATAAGTAGCATGGAAGTTTCATGAAACAGAAGATTTTACTGATTATAATACAGTTGTTTTTCTTGTGTGATCATACTTTTATTAATTGGCCTATTTACTGAAAATTCAGACGCTGGGTTCTTACAACTTACAAACCACTAGTATAGAAGTTCATAATAATTATTGTGAGATTTCTTCTTAAAATCCATAGTTGCAGCATTATTGTCAGATGTGGACAAGTTTTGCCAAGAATTTGAGCTTTAATCAGCATTTTTTGTGGGTGGATGTTAAAAACAAAAGAATTTTGTGGGCGTAAACAGAAAAATCACATTTTTCTCTGAACAGCTGTATAATAGCCACTTTTAAAAGCTAAATAGTAAACACAGAAGGAAAGGGTTTCATACCATAGAATGTAAGGCAAAATATTTCTGGCTTCCATATTGTGGGAGTTTTTATAGAGCACAAAATGCTAAGTAAAAATTGTCTGCATGCTTGGACAGCTGACATTTCAAGAAATGAGTTAGAAATCAGAGTCCTTTTCAGAGCCATGCCAGTCGCCAACCACTTATGGCTTTGGAACTAATTGAGAAGTGAGGCGTACACATAAATGCTTTATGATCTACAGCTTGTCATACCTATATTTTGTAGAAGGTTTTTTTTTTTCATAATAAAGCTTTTGTGTCATATGTATGTGTAAAAATCAGATCTGGTTTTAAACCCAGAAATCATATTGACCTTAAAGTTAATATATCATTCCTATGTATATGTAATGTATAACCATAAGACAGAGTTGGTAGATAAAGGTAATATCTTTTATTGACCCATTATTATCACTGAAAAACATTGACAAGAGTTTGAACACGTAAGCTTTCTTTATATCTGAAACAGAAAAAAACATATTTCAAGGGCAAAGAACAGCTGAGAAAAATTGATCAGAGTATCAGAAATATCACATCTTTGAGAAGAAAGATAACTGGTAGATACAGTTAGAGGAGATATTAGTGAAGAGTGGGAGAAAAGAAATGAGAGATTCTAGTATGTGTTTTGAGCAAAATAGTTGCAAATCCTGATTCAGTAATCTAACATGGATGTGTATCCATCAAGGACATTATTCCATGGAAATAGTTTGTAATTTTGCAAGAGTTGTCAAAAATCTATGCAAAGAATGGATTCTAAAAAAAAAAAAAAAAAAGACATAAAGTGATGAAGGTGGTTTTCCTTCTGAAACTCCCCCCCCAGTTTAAAAAAAACCCCACCCATTGCTAACTGTATCTCTCTTTTTCACATCTAAAGCTTTCCCCAGACAAAAGTAGATGCTGTAGGTTTTGTTTTCTATTTTCTGCAACAAGAACATTAAATAACAAAAAATGCAATCTAATAATCTTATAAACTACAAATTAAAAGTTAAAAAGAAAAATATTGAAAGATGTCTTATTGTCCTATTGACAGAAAACAGGAAAAAATTGCTGCTTCTTGGTCCTGCTTTTTTGTCAATGATTTTTTGACTGCCTGGCCACTTCTTACCTGATACAGGTTTCTTGCTGTAGTGAACAATTTGACCTCTGACTTAGGCTTGTCATCAGAACTTTGTAGTTGCTATATTACTGTCTTCTGTTCTCAGTGACTTTGGGGGCAGACCTCTTTTACCATCTCACAAGTATTGTCCACAGCACGCTGAATATCCTCAAGAAATACAAATCCCATCAATTTAGGAATTTAAATATCTTCTGATTCTTGTTTTGTAAAGATCTTCATACATGGTTGCTTCGTATAGTTATTTTTTAACTTTCTCACTAACTGACCCTGTGATATTTGGCCGTAAAGGCATTTGATAAAGGCCTTTTCCCTTGTGAAACAAAAAGCCAATGAGCAAAAATTACAGAGAAGGCATCACATATGGTGTGAAAATAGGAAACGTGGGTTTCATTTGTTCCTTCTTCTGCATGGTTCATTACAGGGACTTGATTTAATTCACATGGGTGAATAGGTATTACACAATCGTTCTTTTTAGTCTACTATAAGAGATTAACAACCAGTGCATGTGAGACTGTAAGTATGTAATTGGCACTACGTCTGCCAGTAGTGAGATGCTTGCAGCAAATGTAAAGGACTTACTTTCAAGTATCTGTTCCAATTAATTTTCACTTATCATGGATGGATCGGTTTCAACATGAAAGATTGAAGCAGTCAAGTCAGTCCATAGCTAAGCGCAGGAACAGGATTCAGATCTGCTCAGAGTCAAGCAGGGAGGAAAATGAACCAAGGTTGCAAACAGAGAATGTATGTCTGCTGCTTGCTGACTATGGGATTTACCCGAGAAATGTAAACCCCAAGTTCAGTTCTTGGCTGCTTTATTTCAGACTTTTCTTCCACAGTTCAAGTAAGAATGTGATTACTGGCCCCAAATCAAGGGGTGGGTATTTGTTTGCTTAACCTGACAAATTTTTTTTAGGAAATTTGGAACTTCAGCTTGGTCTATGTGACAAAGCTTTTTAGGTGTGAAGGAGGAAGCATCTACCCAATTCCAAAATATAATCCCACTGGAAAAATAGGGTAACAGCTAAGCAGTGTTTTAAAGATGGAAGTGGATGCCTAACAAAGTGGATTGATCTCCAAGTGATTTTGAGGATCATATTCTGTTCAGAGAAAGTGCTTTCCTGTTGAGTCATTTTTAGCTGTATTCAGAGCTTTGACAGGCTGAAAGCAAACAACCTGTGGTTCTCGATGGCTATCCTGAGTGTATGTAACATCAGAGTGCTGATGGGTAGAAGAAGGAGAAGGGAAGAAAACTAGGACAGAGTGCAAAACCCCTCACAAAGTCTACAACTTGGGAAGCTTAGCAGACTTTATATTTTAGGATTGGAGGGAGATTCCTATTAGAAATAGGTACCAAATTTCTCTACTTTTTTTCACAGTAGAGACCCATGGAATTTCTTTAGAATTCTGCTCCTGAAATTAATAAGAAATAAAATTAGGTCAATATTCTAGAAAGTTGGGAATTCTGTACAAATATTGATTGGATATTTGTTGGTTACAGAATTCTTTCTCTTATTTCTTCTTTTGAGTGTCCAAGTGAAGATGTAAAGATCTGATTTTTCTGAATTAAAGAGAGTGTTATTCTTAAAATGGCTGGTTTGATTCCTATGGGTAGCTTACAAAGTAAGGTGTATAAGCAAGAATATCAGAATCCAGTACTAACTTATTAAAAAGTGAAAATATATGGGAGCATATTCATTTTCATACTTTTCTTTAGGTCTAATATTTATGGATTTCAATATCTGGCCATAAACCATATATGAGACTTAATGATATTCTGCAATGATACAAAATGAATTATTATTTACTAAACATACCTGTGTAGATGGCATGAATTATCTGTCAGCCTGATCACATTGTATTAGTATTGAAAAATTGCATTTATTTGTTTATTTATTTTGTATTTTCAGGTAGAGATTGAAAAGCTGGACTATCATTACTATCTGCCTTTGTTTTTTGATGGGCTTTGTGAAATGACATTTCCATATGAGTTTTTTGCTCGTCAAGGAATCCATGACATGCTGGAACATGGTGGAAACAAGATTCTTCCTGTCATTCCTCAGCTCATTATCCCAATAAAAAGTAGGTGAACATGTGGGAAAAAAAAGAAAAAAAACCCTAAGATTGCATTTATATAGTGTAGATTTTTGACAAGTTGCTAATTAAGCAATAAAACATGACAGGCTGTACGTTTCATGGAGATTATTGCAAACATGAGTAAATTGTAAGGTATAAGGCCAGAAGGCTTATGCATTCAATCCCCTGGTATGTGCAGTAATCCAGAAGAATAGTAATCCAGTCCCGTTAGTGTTTTTCATATTACAATGTAGCTCTTGGTCTTTGGAAATGTGAAGTGACATTTTCTTACCTGATTTTGTCTATTTATTATGTAAATCCATTACTCTATAAACCAGGTCATCTAAAATGACAGGAGAAATCAACAGATGAAACTTATGGAATTATGTTTCTTTTAGTCCTGTTGTTTATTCTACAGTTGTCCAGTATTTATTCACTAGATATCTTTTCTATCATCATTCTCATTACTATGCATATACGTATATCTATCTAAATTGGTAGTTCTTCCTGACTAATGTTTTATGTAAAATTTTGGCATTTAAAGATATTGATTTTGAAGTTTTTATATATTCAAACATAGTTTTCTGCAGAAAAATTATGTGAAAGGTAATAAATTATTTGCATAAAAGTGTAATACCACTAAAACTAAAACTTCTTTTCTTGAAACACCTAGTCTTTCAGATACACTGTTTTGCCCTTTCCTGTTTCTTTAGATCAGTACCTTGAGGAGATATTATTCTGAACCATCATCCTTCTTTAGTCAGGTATTATGATTCTTAAGTCTGCATGCTACACCTATACTAATAGATGCTCATATTTCTTAAACTTGAGTTCTGTTTTACCATTGATCAGTAATGGTATCATTGCTGTCCTTTGTCCTATTTTCCTGAGATGATTCAGCACCCATGCTAAGACAGAACAAAACAGAGTCATCATATCTGTGATACAGAATGAATAGAGTCAGATACAGTTTTGCAAAAGGGGAAGGGAATGTAGTTTGGAGCCTGATAATATTGAAATAATAGTGTTGGAAGCGTCAGAATTGTGTTTTTTTTTTCATTCAACTTATTGTCCATTTAAGAAGATTAATTTTAGATGTCATTATCTCTATCTTACTGTAGATTTTGAAAATTTCAGAAGGAATATATAATATTCAGAATGGTTACTCTGTAAGTGACACTTGTGAAAGGTTAGGAAAACAATGTTACAGTTCTTTTCTCTCTAAAAGCGAAACACATAAAGAGAGGAATCATGTAATTTCTTTAAATCCATATTTCCAACACCACCCAAATATATTTATAGTAGTATCATTTTTTTTGAAAGCTGAAATCATTTCTGCAGAAAGGCCTGCAAGTTTATGACAGCAGCTACTCAGTTAGGATTTAAAAGTCTTGCTGAGACCAGAATCTAGCTTAGAAATAATTACCTGGAAGCTTTAGCTGTTACACAGCTTTTAGCATTAGAAAGAGACTACTAGGTAAGGATATTTATATGGGTTTGATATACAGTCTCGTAAATCAAGTCGTAATTTACGATGCTGGAACACATTCAAGAATCTGCTAGCTAAATGTAGTTGTTGGTTCTGCTTTATTTTATTGTACAGTGCTTATTTTTTTATTAAAAAAAAACTTCTGTATCAGCTTTAATATGTGAAGAGTTTAAGTATTATAAATGATAAAGGCCTCTTCCTAATTAAAGCCATATTAATATTTTAAAAAGACACCACCATCTTAAGGAATCTGAAAGTGTGTACTTCTAAGAGTTTTAAAATTTCTATGACTGTGTAATATATAGCAGTGTAGTCAGAGCTATACATTTCTGTGACTCAGCTGCATCCACAATAAACTCAGCTGTGTTTTACACATATTACTGTCTCTAAAGTGTCCCACTGGGTGAGTTATATGTGATTAACCAGTCTTCTTCTAGACCACTACCATATTTCTACTGTGAAAGAGTGAATCAATTGATTGTTAGGCAAGGTAATATATATGACGGAGTGGAAAGGGATAAAAGAAAGACAGAAGAATAACTCTACAGATAGAATGCTTTTAAAAGCAGTTTTCTCTCCTGCAGGTTCATCAAAGGAAAATATTAGTAAAGAGCTGCTCTCTAAAAACATTTTAAATTAAATATTAGAATTCTGTATTATACTTGAATAATTTAAGGACCACTCTATCCTCCACCCAACCTTGCTTAAAGTTCACACTTTTTGAACACTATATCATTAAAGATGAAAATTACATTATTTAATGAATCTGTGTAATGAGACTGTAAGCCCAAATCTTTTCAACAAATTTTCTTCTGGTTATGCAAACAGGCAATGGCTAACAAAAGGTAGACAATTGAAATTAACAGGTCCAGTTTCTTTCCTAAAATACCTGAAATATGATTAAAATAATATGGAAGAATGATACTTAATTGAAAAATAATTACTTATTTTTGTTTGTCACATTGAAAGGGACTCTTTTTTTTGGAAATTCAGAGGAAGAAAAAAATCTCAGGTTGGAGGCATTGATTTTTCAAAGAGAAAAATGTTCAAAATATATTTTGATTTCTCAAAATAAAAATTCAAAGTGTATTGTACGTTGCAGTGGCAAAACATAATAAAATAGTTCATAAATACAGTCACTGCATGGCATAAAAAACAGGAAAAACAATTTAGCTGTATATGTCAAACTTGTAAGGAATCCAACGAAAAATAAAAAAATGCAAAATCAGAAAATGTGAATACTTTAAGGTATTAAGACTTTTTACTCCCTTTCACAGAAGGTGTAGGCAAACCCAATGTCTGAGTTACTTGAACTAGAGCAAAGATTCATAAATTGAGATATATGGCCAATAACAAAATACTTTGTAGAGGTATTATGAAAGTTCTGATGCACAACACACAGCAGAATATCTTCTTTGCCAGAAATATGCATATCATTATTTTCACATTGCAGACAGGTAAAGAGGTAGAAGAAAGCTAATTTTGCCCCACGTCGCTGTCCTGCACTGGTGGCAGAAAGCAGAACAGAACCCAGGCACACAACCCTGGGGCAGCAAGCAAAGCTGCCTGTAGGTCACGTGAGAGTTCCCTTATTTTGGGGGAACAGAGGAGTCTGTCTGGCCCCACCATGTCTTTCAGTAATGCACTGGGGTACCTTAAAACTCACTTGTGGCTTACCATTACCTATAGCCAGTCAAGAACAGCCAGGAAAATGGGTGTGAGCGTGAGAGATGCCTGTTGTACCATGTGCTTTTCAGTGGAAAAGTCCTGTTCTAAACTCTGTGTTGTCATGGGAATGTAAAATCCCTTTTGATACTCATATTTTGGGCAAATTATTTTTAATATTACATTTGCCATAACAAATGTTAGATCAGAAAAGCCATAAGTCCTTTAGCTTGCTTTTATTAGGCTTATTCAACTCTGAGATTCCTGACCGCAGAGTTCCCCAGATTCAACATGAGACACACATGCAGACATAGGCACTGAGAGGGCAGGATGTTTGTACACCTTTGCCTGATATTTCTATGAGTAACATCAGGGACATCCAACACAGTGTGTGGAAGCACCTCCTCTCCTTTCAAAGGCAGCGAGCATGCTACCATTTACATTTTCTTTGCTGGCAACATAGCTGTAGGAGTTTCCAACCCCTTCACACAAAAAGCGACCAATCCTTCCAGCTCCCACACTTCAGTTCATTGCAACTGACTTTTGCTAATGCAACTGTTTGTGGAGCAACTCCGTGAATCTCACATCTAGATGTATTAAAAAAAAAACAACAACAACAACAAAAAAAACACCAAAAAACCCCCTAAAATTAAACCAAAATATTTTCAGAGTGGTGTTACTTTGAAACTCAGATCATTTCAACAGTCTAGTTTATAGCTGCACTGTCACAAATGAAGGAATAGTACACAATAGCACAGAAGTTGGAGTAAGTAGAGATGATCAGTAGGAACATCTTGATATAGCTTTGCTAATGAAGAAAATAATGTGAAATTAAACACTTAAGCACCTTGGATCACCCACTTGCCAGAATCTTTTCTGTTCTGTGCTGTGGATCCTAAAATGGATGCATAGGCAATCTGAACTTAGGTCTAGAAGCCAATAAAGCTCATGTCTTTGCACTTAAATTGTAACTTAGATGGAAGTACTGTTTCTACACAGTTGCAATCAGCAGACCAGCACTTCTGATTGAGTCCAAAAAGAATAAACTCCACCCTAAGGAACACTGAAGTTTTCCTTTTTGACACTTTTTCCACGCTGTTAAAAATCCCTTCTGTGACACAGTAGATCAAGGATACCTTAAACTTTGTTGAAAATGGGCAACTGAGGGACCTTATCTAATACCTTTCAGAAGTCTAAGAAAACTGCATTATCAGACTTTTCTTGTCCATGTTCTTCTTCTTCAAGGACCTACAGTACATTTAGAACGCTATATTAATTTCTGCAGCACAGATGTCAATATTACCGGTCTTTGGTTCCCCAGATCTTCCCTGAAACCTTTTTTTAAAAATGGTATCACATTTCATTGATAACAAAGCTGTTTTCATTGAAAGGGTGGGTACTCAGTGCAGTTTAGTACCTTGAGGCAGCACAGGGGAAGGAATATACATCTAGGAATGGATGGAAACTCTGTAAACTGGCATAGTCACTGAGAAGGTTTTTGGGACTCTATTCTCAGTGTATTCTTTATACTACTTAATTAAACAGGGCCTGCAAATGTTAATAGGAATCAAGTTTTATAGGTGCTGATCTGGTAAAGCACTACAAGCACAACTAAAGCTGAAAAAAAGCCACTGACATTCTCTTCTGTATTCTGCTAGATTATGTTTCTTGCAAGTATCAATTATTCAGTTATGGATCTTAGACTTTTCTGCACCTTAGGCTTTGGCATTACAGGACAAAGTCTTTGGTGACAAAATTGGCCTAAGGTTTTCATTCCTTACCCCCTATTCCTCCTTCCCATCACCTCACTGCAACACGTTACTCCTTCAGTTGTACATCTATATTGTAAATT